GGCGAGGCCCAGCCGCGGCCCAGGCCTCGGCCCCGCGCTCCGCTGGGAGCCCCCGCTTCGGGGTGGGGGGTGATGCCCGTTTGCCTCCCGCCCTGTGTGGAGGCCGCCGAGAGGTCTCGTCTCGCCCCCCGCGGAAGCTGATCGGAACTCGTTAGGATCGTGGTTCTGTGCTCCGCACCAAACTGTGTCTCCTGCGGGTTGAGCTGTTGGTGTCTGGGCGGTCGTCTTTGGATTCCCAGTGGTGAGGAAGGGCTGCTGTGCCTGTTGAACACGCACAGACGCAAAATATCTCCTCCAGAAGAGGCAGCAGAAGCTGATGAAGCTTTATTCAAAGCTCTCTGAGGGAAAGAAGAAGGTAGTAAGAAACGAAACACCCTCTACAACACCAGTCATCTTTATACAAGCTCTTTCTTTTGTCCATAGCTAAAGGAATCCAAAAGGGCAGTGAATAGTCTTCGGGATATCGTTGATGATGATGATGATGACGACCTTGAGAGGGTCAGCTGGAGCGGAGAACCTGTGGGAAGTAAGTGCAGAAGTACTGCAAGTTATCCTTTTGACACAGAGGGAGTTTAAAATTACTTCTTACAGTCGTGTCATTTAGTTGAAGTCAGGAGTACTACTTGCTGTCTAATCCTGCAGATCTAATCTTAATTCTAGTCTTCTCTGCTCACATTGTGGGCCGCTTGATTTACCTGTGTGGATCCACTGAGAAGACAGCAAGTAGAAGCACAAATTACATAAAGAAGGGGCATGCAGACAAGTGGAGGGAATTCACTGTGGTTTTCCCAATATGTAGCCCAGCTTAGAGCATGTATCTCAGAGGTTATAACTTGATATTCGTCATACTTAACATGTCTGCAGGATTCTAGGTGATAATTTCCTTCACATTACTGCCTGAACTGGCACCATTTAAAATTCTCTGTGCTCTGTCCCCACAGCACTTTAAGGAGGTACTCCAAGGCTTAGTGTGTGTTTAAAGACTGAATCTTCTGCTTGAAGTTTGGAAGGGAATTGTAAACACTAAGCAAATGGGTTTGTGGTGATGGTGGGAGCAAGCTCATGACCCACCCGCGATGCTGTCTGCTGTGCTTCCGCATTCATGACCCGCAGAATACGTGTCACTTGCTAGCTGGTGCCAAATGGTGAAATTTACATTTGCATCATCCAGAGGACCTTCAAAGAGTCTGTTCTTCTTGTTCTGTGCTGTAGCCCCTCCCTCTGGTTCAGGCCCTTTTTTTTTCCTCACCCAAGGTCTACCTTTGGCTTTTTTGTTCTATCACCCTGCCCTGTAATGTGTGTGTTGGGCAGCTGTGTGAAAAGAAGGGAACACCGTGCCTGGAGCGAGCAGGCTGCCAGCAGTGTATGCATGTTGAACACCCGTTTGTTTTTGTAGAGAGGAAACCTAGTTCCAGAGTCCAGGAAGGTATGCTCTTGTGCGTCTGTGACTTGAGGTGAGCCAGGGATTCTGTCTTGCTCTGTACCTTCAGAGCAAGGATTATGCAGCAGCATATAAACGTTGGGTGGTTTGCGCATTTCTTTTTTACATAAGCCATAACCATTTGTACAACATTGCTACAATCAGCCTCTCCTGAAGGACGATGCAAAACTGTTTAGCAAGCAGTGTGACATGAGATTTGGATTCTGGGCACTGCTTCTACTTTGTGCTGAGGGGCAATGTTAGCAGGATGTGCTAGTGCAGAACTGATGACATACTAGGTAATGTTCTTGCCGTGCCATAAGATTGTTCTTTACAGACTGTTTTTCTCTGTTAAAAATTACCTCTGTCTGCACATAGGTATCTCCTGGTCAATCAAAGAGACAGCCTCCAGCAGCACTAGCTCGCTGGAGGGCCAAGACTCCGGCCTACAGAAGGGCTCTTCCCCCTATGCTGCTTTTCCCAAACAAGTTTCCTCCTACTCCCTAAGCAGCCTATTCAAAGGTGAGGTTCTTCGTATGTGATATGGACAAATGGGTTTTTCCTCAAGAGTGTCAAGGGGCAACTGTGTTATCTTAGGTAAATGGGTTTCTCTTAAGTGTATTACAGAACAGGGTGGCTCTGATCTCTCCTCAGTGTGGACGTGAGTCTCTCACTAGTCAGAAATTGGAGCCTGTCCTGGGAAGAAGGTCGCATGCTCTTGTAGTATGGGAGGGAGCTTTGGAGTTTATGGCTTCTTAAGCCAGGCTCTACTGAACAGCAAGGGAGAGCACAGCACTGTGCAGCAATCCATTTGCATGGTGGAAAAGAGCAGACTACAAAGGTACTGACTTGACTCTCGTGGGTCCCATTTCACCTTCAGTACTGTAGAGACGATGGGTTGATCATCCTTTATTGGGAGCTCATTTGGCTGCTGTTGACATTATAGCAGGTTCAGTGGACAGGGTGGCAGCAGTGGCAGCGTAGCTGGCTGTGGGGGAACTGTTCAGC